GAGAGTGAGTTCGACTGGTTGTAGGACTTTCGAGGATGAGAAAGCAATAATTAGTTTTCTCTATAATAGTCGTTTTCCGGTCGTAGACACAATAATTAGTTTTATTTGCTGAAATTAAACTCAACTTATAGAAAATTATCTATTTGATGTTTATTATGATAATTTAATGTATCTTACTATTTGGCGTTGGTGCAGAGTCGAAAATAAAATAAATATCCATTAAAATAGATGGTACACTCTGAATGAATACATTTTTAGGATGTAATAAAATGATTTCCATGTAAATTACAACTTCAGAGGGATCAATATAAATTTCTTAATATAAATTATTATATTATTTCTCTTAAAAATTTATTTTTTATTATATCAAGTGTATCGTATTTCTTTTTTCCCGTATACTATCTATTCTTTTATAAAATATGAAAATATCTGATTCTTTTTCTTTCTCTCTCTTCTCTGAACCAGACCTTATTAAGTCAATTTTATCTTTTTCTTTATATCTTAATTTTTGTCTTCATATCTCTAGGTGCAAACCCTCTTAATGAGAAGACCCCCATAAGGAATCCTTTTGAAGTCCTGCTTTAAAATATTTATTATAATAATTTAATATGTGATATTATTTGGTATTTTTGTAGAGTTGAAAATAAAACAAATGATTAATAAAATAGATGATACACTCTAAATGCTTTTTAGGATGTAGAAAAATGATTTACATGCAAGTTTAAACTTCCGATGGATAAATATAATTTTTTAATATAAATTATTGGATGAGTTCTCTGAAAAAAACTATTTTATCTTATATGTGTCTCATGTTTTCTTTTTCTCATATAATACTCCTTTTATAAAATACAAATACCCTGCACACTAAGCCTAAAATGGCTTAGGTAAATAGTCATTAAACTAGAAAAAAATAATTTAAAGTGAATCGATTTGATGCGATTTCTCATTCTGCATGTCCTATCGATAAGAATTGTTCTTCTTAATCCTATTGAGTTAATTTTATCTTTATTTTTATATCTTTATCTGTCTTCCATATATCTCTGGTTGCATACTCTAAAGAAACTCTCTTGAGGCTTTTGATGAGATGTGACTCACGAAAAAATCTTTGGGTTTTCATATTGTTTTCTACAATCTCATATTGGTCACTTTGTAATGGTATTTGAAGCACTTTAGATAATATTTTTGTCAAAAATATAAAATTTTCTAATAAGTATTTCTGTTTAATAGATGTTTCAAATTAAAATTTTTTAGGATTTGATATATTCTCCGAAGAAGGCTTAATTTAGAATTAAATTGATTGCTTAGATGATATAAAAAACTTTTCGGAAAGGCACATATTGAAAATCTACCTTATAATATATCTTTCAAGCCATTTATTTGTGAAAAAAAGTAAATATTTTTGTTAGCTTGGTTGATGTGAAAAACAGAAAATTTGTTGTTTCGTTAGAAATGAAAAAAATTGGGGTTACAATGATTGCTTAGGATGGAAAACTTCATAGATTTCTCTCATGTACATCTGAATCTTGTCCCACGTAATTGATATTATTTTTGACTTAAAAATATTTTAATTTCAGTTTACAGTAACTAAAAAAAAAGTAAGATGACATGAATTCAGCCTTTTAAAGATGGAATTCACTTAAACTACCGAACTTATAAGAGTTAAAAATAGAAAAATATTTTTTTTTGAGAAATCACCTCATATCATTGAGAATGGGCTCTGAAGTGAATTTTGACTACTTTTTCATTTTTTTGTTCATTTAAATTAGGAATTTATAATTATTTGATTTAATTTAAGACTGATATTAGTAAATTATTAGTTTTTGGGTCAATTAGTGTTCTATTTTCCTCTTCATTTTACTTTGACAATGTTTTCCTATGACGCTAGATGAATTTTTTAAAAATCAATAAAATACTATTTAAAATTAGAGTAAATCAAGCCGTTTTTTTACTAACTCACCCTCCAATCACCTTTAAACTTTGAGAATCAGTTAAGTGAATTTTGATCATTTTTTTCTTTGTTATTTATTTAAAATGTGAATTGACAATTATTTGATCCCACCTAAGTTTGAAATTTTTTTTTTTTTGGTCAAATAATGGTTTGTTTACTTGTTTTCCCTCAAAAACCTTGTACTTTACATTGATATCCAAGAAATCTTGATGATTTTTAAAGAAAGACTTGAGTTAGACTGATTTTTTTTTTTTTACAGGGTTAACATTATTTCTGGTCCTTTATTAGAAAGCAATATAAACACGTCTTGTAAACATTTATCTGAAATCAATTGTTATGTTTTTTTTTTTTATAGTAAATGGTATAGGTAAAATATTTGTTATGTGCTTAAAACGAGAGATATAGAAAAACTTTGTGTCACTTAAATGCAAAGTACGGTGAAATAGACGAGTTGGTCACCCGGTCCACGCTTCGCGCTACAACTTCGGTGCCGCGCTTGCCCGCGAGTCCCCTGCACCAAGCGCCGACATCGTGATTCCGGTCCCGGACGCCGAAATCTCTGAAGATTTGGAAATGTGGTGAGTTGAGGTCAATAGACGAGTTGTTGCTAAATGAAGGGAATCAGCAAGTCGGGGGTTTGTCGGTGGGTAAATTATGTATCGACGATGCAGCCCTGTTCAAAATTTGGAGATGGTTTTAAAAGTCAAGATGATTTGAAATTTACAGATTAAGCTTTTGCTCTGTATCCAAATTGTATTCTTAGATTCTGCCAAAGTTCAAGATTACTGATGCATCACATTTCAAAATTGGACGATGATGGCACATAAGTGTATCATCTGTACTTACATGTCATTGCTTCTGAGCCTGTTCATGGTCTTGTTTGTAATACAGGGCGTCAATACTGCTGCAACTCTGTTTATATTCTACTGATAATACATTTTGAATCAGTGAACAATGGTTTCCAAAATATGTTTTCTGTTCATGTACAGAGTCTTGAAATGCTTCCTAAGTATGATGAAAGTAGTCAAGCTATAGTCAGACTGCTATCTTCCTCTGTTTTATTGCTGGTTAAAATATCTCTGCTTTCATCTCTGATCATCTTATGTTTTTGACATGCATAAAATGCAGGGTAATAAATCACTATTGGATGTCTTTGATTGCAACAAAATAATACATGAAAACTGTGTTTTTTTCTTCTTCTTTGGGTATTGGAAGAAAAATTATCTTGATTTCTTATGATCATAAAACTCTCAACCTCTGTTTCTTCTTCTGCACTGTGAAGTGAGTACGAGCTAATCGGGCATTATTACCTCCTTAGGATTCGTGCATCCATCTGATCAATGGTGCGTATAGTGGAGGGCTGCGGTGCGTTGATCCTAATCCGTTCGTTCATCTCTGATGGCCCCGCTCCCACTTGAAATCTGACCCGTCCAAGGCTTCCCCATTGTTTAAAATGGAGAACATCCGCCACCTTGGACGTTCGTGTTCGCAGTCGTCTGCGGTGAGATTCATCTGCATTCATCGCTCGAAAGGTTTAGATCTTTTCATTTGCGCCATTTGATCTGCGGGTTTTGTTCACCATCTCGATTTCTTCGCATTCGACTTCTTGTTTTCAGGCTTTGATTCTGATTCTTTATTACCAATTTTCATCCAAGATATATGGCGAGCGAGACATTCCAAGTGCTTTGTTTTCGTCTTTTGTGGAATGGAGTGTGCCGGATTTGTAGTCGTAATCTAATGGGGAAATAGTTGGCGTTATTAATTGGTGGATTAATATGGTTATCGAGCTCATTCTTTTAATTTGTTGATAGAACTTAGTAAGTATATAGTTTGGAACTGATCAATAAGATGAGTCAATTGCGTTCTTTTTTTTTTTTGGAATATATACATCAGATCGACACTGTAATATGCAATTTCAGGTATGAATTATGAATTGAATTATACACCAACCTGCTCGAACATGTCAACTGCCTCTATTGATTAGATCCATTTCTCTAACTTTTCGGGTGTAGGCTTTAACAATACCTTGATCGAAATCAATGCAATTTTTTTATTTCACCTTGAAAATTATTTAAACTTGCTTGCTTATAAATGTCAAATAGAAATCAAGCTATAGAGCTAATTTATATGGGCTGGGAATCACATTTTGAGTTTTGTAGAGTTTTGTAGAGCTGATATTGAAATCCTAGATAAATATATCTTGAAGGATAAACTTTAATTAAATTAGTTCATAAATATTTGTTATGTTCATAAAAGAATTGAAATCCTATATAAATATACCAATGTTCATGTGATGTCTTTTCTAGTAAACAGTTTTTTGCCATACAGCAAAATATTTGTTATGTGCTTTTAAAAAAGAGATGTGATATGAGATACATAGAAAAACTTTGTGCAAATTAAATGAAAAGTATGGTGGAATGGAAGAGTGTGTTGAACCAAATTCTATTAATATATATTAACTGCTATACCTTGTGAGTTCATATTAATATATATTAACTGTGTTCATAATTGTTATGAACGCAGTTAATATGTATTCGTAGCGTATGACAGTCACTTGTGCACAATACAGTGACCAATCGGATGTCCCAACCGAGATGATTTGTACATATTACTATAAAACAATTCTATTTATAAAAACAAAAACAATTGTGTCAATCAAAAAGGGAAGTTATAACAACATCGAAGCTAGTAGAAAACTTGCATCAATCCACCGTCACAAAGTTATAAATTTTCCTACAGAAATATAAGATAAAAAAATCTTATTTATTACATATTTCAATCTATAATCAATCCACTCACAACACATACAACAAAATCGACAACTTCTTAAAAGTTCATAACATTCAAGTTCGAATAACACATATACAAAATAATCTAAATGTGCAATATTGTTCAATACAAAAGACTCTTAAATCTTTCTTCAAATCATATCCACAAATGAGCTACTCCTTCAATCTGCAATTAAAAAAAATATATATGAGAAAAGAAAACATTGTAACTCACATACAAACAAAATTTATCATAATTAAGTATGTTTTTTTTTTAACATAAGACTCATTTAAACATTCAATGCATGCGTTCTAAAACATACATAAATATCAATTTTTTGTTTACATTTAATTTACAAAACTTAAAATTTATACGTATTTTAAATGCTAAATAAATTGCTTATCATACTTTTTTTTTTCAAGCAACATATATTTAAATATATTTTCATAATAAAAGCATAATACAACTAAAACCATATATCATGTCATAAATCATTATAGTATAAAGAATTATCATTAACTAGTCATAAAAAACATAAATATAGTTGAGGATTCAGCGTAGAGAAATAAATTGTACCTTTTACAAGTAAGCCCTTACTAAGTCTTGTATTTAGTTTTACTATTAGAGTGGTTTCAGAGACTAGGAGGGAAAACCAACCGAAAACAACGAAAAACCAATTGCATCGATGCGGAGAAGCGATGGTTGGATGTGATGTACCTTAACATATCCCATTGGGTGACATTCGAAAATCGACCCGAACTCTTCATCTCGGCCAAGTGCTTCTCCAGCTGCTCCGTCAGCCTCGGATGGCAGCGTTCGAAATCTAGATTCCTGAGGGACGTCGGCAGCCCCTTCTCAGGTAGCGACTGAATCTTCGGACATATAATTATTCTTAAAAGCCAGAGGGAGGAAAGGGCATGCAACTCTCTCGGTAGCGATTGTAGATTCTCGCAATTGAAGAATTCTATAGATTCGAGAGCTGTGAGGCTTCGCAACAACTGCTCCTCCTCATCAGACATCGTCGCTCGAGGAAAGTTTGAGATTGTGAGAGCACGGACGGATGGAAGTGTCCTTCTTAAGAGCGATACTTTGAACAGGGCTGTGTCGTCGATGCATAATTTAGGCACCGACCAACCCTCCACTTGCTCATTCCCTTTATTCAGCAACAGCTTGGGACATAGTTTGATCGTCAATTCTCTGAGGGATTCCAGAACTCGCAACTCGTCTATTGATCTCAACTCACCACATTTCCAAATCTTCAGAGATTGAAGTTGTTTCAGGTGAAGCAGCGACGTTTCAGGAAGAGACTCTATGGACGGGCAGTCGCCTATTTCCAATCGAGTGAGTGAGGTCAAGTTGTGCAGGCAGCCCGGTAGCAATTTTCCCACATTCCCACAGTCAGACAGCACTAGTTCCTCGATTGAGGGTGGAAGGAGGATGTCAATGTCCCAATCTCGCGTCATGCTCAAGAGATTCGGGCAACTGCAGATTGACAATTTCCTAAGGGAGGTGAGTTCTTTAAACCCCTTAACCGGCTGCCACATGAGTTCCGTGCATTCAGCAATCACAATGTCACGGGTATTTGGTAAGCTGTGCGATAGCAACCCTTCTTCCAGATTTCTTAGATTTGGACATTTTCGTATTCTCAATGTTGAAAGAGAAGCAGTAATGCAACTGCCGCCTCCATGAATTCCTTCCCTTAACCCTGGCAGTTCTGTCAATCCGACTTCATCTATTTCTAATGTTTCAAGTGGAGGAGGGAGGGGAGGCAACCTCTTAAGCCTCGGGCATCTTTCAATTTGAAGTTTTCGCAAACAGGGAAACAGCTGTCGGCCATCAGCCCAAGTCCACTCTTCCCATTCTGGCATGTCCCAGAACTTGAGCTCCTCCAAGCTAGGAAAACACTTGCCTTGGTCTCTGGAACCAAAGAATCCATCGCCCAACTTCTTCACTGCTGGCATTTTCTCGATGCGAAGAACCTTGAGACTCGGCAGTTGTCCAAGACAAGGGAGTCCCTCACATTCTGGGATGTCCTTCAGCTCGACCTTTTCGAGACTATATAATTTTAATTCTGAAACTGTCATACTGCTGCTACTTCCATCGATTTCTTCCCACAATCTTGGAACTTCTGTCAACCCGACTTGACATAATGACAGTGATTTAAGTGAAGGAGGGAGGGGAGGCATCCTCTTAAGCCTCGGGCATTCTTCAATTTGAAGTTCTCGCAAGCAGGGAAACAGCTCTCGACCATCTGCCCAAGACCACTCTTCCCATTTTGGCATGCCGTTGAACCTGAGCTCCTCCAAGCAAGGAAAACACTTGCCTTGATCTCTATAACCAAAGAACCCGTGGCCCACCTTCGTCATTGTTGACATTTGACCGATGCGAAGAACCTGAAGACACGGCAGTTGTCCAAGACTCGGGAGTTCCTCCAATGCCACCATGTTCTCCAGCACTAGCTCTTCCAGATTAGGCAAGAACTTGCTCTCTGTACTTAATTCATGACTTATTTGTTTCACTGCTGGCATTCCCTCCACGTAAAGGTTCTTGAGATTCGGTAGCTGTCCAATACATGAAAGATCCTTCCATGCTTTGCAGTTTATCAAACTAAGAGTTTCCAGATTCGCTAACAATTGTGCCTGCAGCCAACTGGGTGATCTGACACCACTGTACCCTCTGATCGTCAAACATTTGAGAGCCTGATGTGGTTGGAGACCTTCAAGTACCTCCTCCGACACAACTAATTCATTGCCGTCTAAACTGGAGCCATCATCCGATGTCCATTCTAAGGCCAGTGCATCAAGGTACTGTTTGTTGTTCAGATTAGCCATGCTTGCTTCTTGTTTACTGTCAACGTTCTCAAGGTTGGTAATTCGAAGTTGTCCACGAAGCTGTTTCAGACTGCCTAATTGGGCAACCTCATGTCCCTGATCCTTGAGTACTTTGAATGAAGACAATCGTTGAAGGGAAGTCAGCTTCCCAACATCATTTATTTTATAAATTATTTCAACTTCCGCATTAAGATGCATCAAGTTGATCAACTTGTTCATGCCGTGCGGAAAACTCTGTAGTGGACATTGAAACAGATCCAGTACTCGCAAATTGTAAAGATCACATAATGACTCCGGCAGCCTCCAAATCTTAATGTTATAGGATATGTCAAGGTAGCGGAGATGTATCGAGCCACCAATTGTCTCTGGCAACTCCCGCAAGCCACAGTCGCGTAATATCAACACTCCAATATTTTTTAATCTTTCAAACAAGACATCGGGAAACGAAAAGCCATAGCCTCGAAAGCCATACCAACGACTATCATAATTGATCATGAGGGTCCGTAATTTCTTATAACAGGAGAACTTCAGTATCTTAGTTTTATTGGTTAATGTTGCTGACAGATGACGAGTCGTATTAGGGATCTCTTTTGACTCATCATCTTCAATCCAGTAAAACTCTCCCTCCGAAATAAATTGAGCAAGATCGTGTATGAGGTCATGCATCACATATGTCGATTCCCAAGGAGCTTCCTGAAAGAAAGACCTATTCACCAAGTCAAGGAAGTAGCGGCTTCCTGTATCCTCCATCGTCATATTGTTGTCTTGAGCAACGTAGCCTTCTGCCATCCAAAGCCTGACCAAGTGCTCTCCATCAAACCGATAATCTTTGGGGAACAGGGAACAAAAAACAAAGCACCGCTTAAGGTGTGGGGGAAGACATTGATAGCTCAATTGTAGGACTGGCAGGACACCCTCTTCGTTTTGCGGTAGTTGCCAGATTTCACTTTCTGCGATGTTTCTCCAGTCCTTCTCATTCATCCCCTCCTTCAACAACCCGCCTACCATCCTTGCCGCAAGTGGCAACCCCTTCAACCTGCTAACGATCTTCTTTGCTATGTCTTCTAGCTGTGGACATTCACCGGCGTATTCGGAACCAAATGCACATTTCTTGAACAATTTCCAATAGCTGGCCTCATCCAGAACTCCTAGACGGATCGGATTGCCAACCATTTCTGCAATCTTTCCAGAGCGAGTTGTAACCAAAATCTTGCTTCCTGGTATTCCGGACCTCAATGGTGCACAAAATCTATCCCAGTTCCCGCTGTTCTCGTCCCACACATCGTCGAGGACAAGAAGGAACCTTTTTGAGGTCAACTTCTCCTTAACTTCCTCTTGTAGTGTATTAAGGTTGCTGAGATCAGGCTTATTCCGGGTTAAGGATTCTATGATCTCTTTGGTAAGCCTCTCCACGTTGAAGTCGTTTGATACACAGACCCAGACCTTATGATGAAAATAGTCCTTCACCCTCTT